AGCATATGTTATACGAAGAAATTACGATAATAACTTCTATCAGCATGGTATATCGAAGGTATGATGGCAGCTATGGTTTAACGAGTGCCGACGACCTCTTAGTTGGTTGCCAACTCGTCCATTATCGGAGGTCAACGGGCAGAGGAAGTGGTCCCATAAAATTAGGTCCATGTGTCGCGCGATGTCGTTGCCATTTGCAGCCACACTACTTGAACTTTGCCCTATACAGGCATCATTGATTATTTATCTTCATCTATCGACTACATCGTTGAAACCTCATTCAGCCATACAAACTAAAACCTCCTGATCATCATAAATTTTATTCTTCAAAGGAACATTTTTACGGTACCCGAGGGAAGCATATTCATGTATCACAGCGAGGCATTCGTTTGACGCCATGCGACTGAGCTACTCGTAAGTAAAGCGACTGAGATCAAGCAAAGAGGAGCAGGAAAAACATGAAAGCTTTTTGACATCGATTTCGTTGAGTGAATGTAATCACTGCGAAAAGTAGATACAATGTGAAGAACGCTTTTCTTCAATTGAAACCCTGAAGAGAAGTGGAGCGATGACCAAATTCTGGTACTGTTTTGAAGCAGTAGCACTCAAGTAGACGTATCGCCGTTGGTTTCAATTGCTTCTTCATCTGTGGACTGAAAATAAGTGCTTCACATTTTCGAAAGGAGGCTATCTTAGTTCATCCAACAAATTGGTAAAGTGAAAATTCGGCGCTATCGCAAGATACGGGGGCACAGTGGAGGCAGGGGATTTGACAACCGCGGAATTCATCTCCTTCTCGCTGAAATCGGGATCAAGCCTCAAGCGGATGAGGAGAGACTTCAGGGTGTGGGGGTGTGTGAGCAATTTTCATTTCCCATGAAGTTCCGGCTCCCTCGTTGGCTTAGTCCTGCGGATGCCCCCGTATCTTGCGATAGCGCCTGAAATTCTATTGAGAGCAGGAGTTAACTTCTTACCTCCAGAAGATATACATGTAAAATAGAACAGCGTGATGAAGATAGTAGATCAGGTAGGAAAAATAGTGAAGAAAATGGAAGATTTGCGTTTGCGGCTCGAAAATGTACTGAATAATCCTGACCATATAGCTGGGCACGTTCAGCAGCACAAAAGTACTGAAAATCGTACTTCTTAGGTGAGATGCCGAATGCCGCTAGCCCTAAACCAAGAGTTTGTACCTGGTCACGATGAGTAGCGTACGACTGAGCTGTAGATCGGACGAACGAAGTTTCCCACATGTGGAGCGATTTGATTGTGTCGACATGTGGCTGTTGGTGTGCGTTTGACTCAGCAACAGCTTTTTTGCCGTCGTCTCCTCCTGAAGAAAATTCGTTTTTGACGACTATTTTTTCGAGCACATAAATTATATGTAAGCGAAAAGGGCGAAGGGTGCAAAACTAATGCTGAGTCATCCCATCTCATAAGTAATGTTCCTCTACCCATAATCTACAACTAATTAGCTTTCCTAAAAACCGCGTTATTCCACTTACGGGGGGCAGCGTTTAGAGGCGCTCAGCGTGTTCAAAACCCACGGATAGCATATTGTTCTAGTGTAACGGTCGGAAAGATACAACGTAGGATTGAGGCTGATAGCAGTTTGGGACTTTGAAGGGCTCCTAGAGCCAAAATGGCAATGGAGCAGACTAAACACCGCTACGAAAAGTCTTTCAAGGTCGGTCGGCCTCTACTGGAGTAGTCGTATCTCGTGAATAGAGAACGTGTCCATCGGCTGCAGAGGTTAGTGCATACTCTACAAATGGCATCACTAAGTTATGCCGACGCAATTCGTAAGGCGCTAAGGACTTTAATCAAATCCCACCAAAACTACCCGGGTCCGCCCACCGTTCGATATCTCATCTGCATCACGATGTTGATCCACTATGCTCTCTCTACTCGTACTTCTTTACCCTCTCCTCGGCCCTCTCCCTGGCTCACATTGTCTCTCATCTCTGAGCCTGCCTCTTCACTTCCCCACAGTGCAAATGGCTCACATTTCCTATGCTTGTGACGCTTTTCTTTCATTTTTTTCTCCACATGCAATCCACGTCCATCCCCACATGTCAAATTTGAGTGGGCTTACCACATCAGTTTGGTCGCGGTCCTTGCCTTTAAATTTGCTGTCTTTCTTTGAAAATCTTTCTACTACCTTGTTCAGAAAGATTCTAATACAGCTCAGACCTCTTCAACAGAACTCATTTTTCTGATCGAATGATTCATTCAAAACTGCCGGTGAGTAAGGTGGCTCAATACATTATACGAAGTTATACGATAACATATATGGTGATAACTGCAGAAATGGCCAATTCTCCACGTTTTCAATCTCTCTAGACCTCCCTTTCATTCCTTCGCAATCACCACCCGTTGTGAACCCCAAATATGGCGTCCTCTTCCAGTGATCGCAAAAGACCCCCTCGTTGGAGAATTGCTAAGTGCGGTTGAGCCTGTCAATATGTCGCAATCGCAAGATACGGGGGCACGGTGGTGGCAGGGCAACGAGTCTGCGTCTATACCGGTTCCTGCACTGAACGAACGTCTTGGATTGATTGTTTCGCACGCTGCACGCTGACCTTCTCCTAGAGGCCCCAGAGAAGCATGGATAGGTATCCTGTACGCTGTTCCGCCCTTAGGAGATCAAACTATTTTTTCTTTCTTGACTTTCTTAGAAGTGTTTAGCGAGAATGAACAAAAAAATTGCAATAAGCAACACAGTAGAAAGGAAGGAGTAAATCTCACATAAGGAATGGGATTGCCGTTCGAGGCTCGGTCGAACCGTACTCGTAATACTCCGGATGAGTAAATACGCATACATTGGCGATAGCGGTAAATTGACAGCGAGTTGACGAACATGATCAGAATCGCCGGCAGCAACGTACAGATCGCTGTGTCGAGGAGTGTGAACAGAAAGTAATGATCGGCTACCGGATACCTGCAAAGATTTGATTACACACACTTATTGTAACAACACAGAAAATATGCATATCGATTGTTGCACCAAACTGGTTGCTCCAGCAGGAACTGTACATATCAATTGTTTGGAACTAGATCGGCAAATTTAGCTTTCCTAGGAGGGCTTACTTCTCTACAAATTGCCTGACTTGCTGTTTGTGGGGGATTCAAGGTTGAAGGTCGCAGAAGAGTCGAGGGAGCTCACCTAGTGAAAACGAACCCTCTAAGAGCGCGGACTGACACGCAATTACCAGGAAAACGTTTGCTCCGATCCAGCATGACCCTGTTCGCGGCGCTATCGGCGCGGTACGCCCACTGATTGGCTAACCACTTGTCGCAGCCGTTCAGAAGATATAGCGTTAGCGTTGAAGAGCAGAGCACCGATAACAGTCGCACTAATGCCAAGGACGGGGCTCTATTTCTGGGGTTCTTAGTCGTTTCTCATGGTTTTTCTTCATCCCGACATCACTGACCACCTCTACCTTAATTCTAATGGGCTGCCTTAGGATAGTAAAATCCGTCCTTAATAAACCACCATAGCCTGGAATATGGTACCTGACCGTGTCGCAAAGAACCTACTGGTGACGGAAAGGAGCAATTCAGAAAGACATAAGTGGTTTAGATATGGGGCGTGGCACCGCTCACAGTACGTGTCGACAGTCCCAGAGGTTAAATCCACGTTCCAATCTCGTTGTAGTAGTCGGTATACAGATTACTACGAGTAAGCGCTAATTGACCTAGCCTCGTTAGTTGACGCGCCTCTCCTGAAGTGAGTGGCATTAGGTGAGGTCAACGTAAAAAAAAAAAAAAACGATACTGCTTGATTCTTAGCGCAACTCTGAGAGGAAAAAAGACGCAGTGGAACAGCGCAAAATAGAGGAATGCAGGTTGTCAAACGCTTGGCCCTATCACAGGTTGATTTCTTTAAAAAGCTGAGGTGCGTATCTACTGTCAAAAGTGTCGATGTTCATTGCGTGAGCAACATCGATTCATATATTTTTGTACAGCTTATACAAAAAATCATTGAATAAACCAACCCAAATACTTGAGCCTTACTGCTAAGGCCACAGAACAAATCATCCTTGTACTCCTCGAGACCGGCGAACATAAAAACCCAACTATAAAATACTATTGAGGTCAGCAATGTACAGATCATCCAATTTCGAGCGAATCGTTTCGTGCACACCCATTTGCGGAAACCTACAAGGAAACTGGAATTATAATACAAACTGAGAGGACCAGGCAGATTTCTCCCTATAGCTACGCTCCATCGAGTTTATAAGTAGATGAATCGTATAACTTCGTATAATGTATCTCCAGAACCTATATTTCAAGGATATGCTCAAGAAGTAAAGTTTCAATTTGTTCGACATGGCAAACACCTGCCATCGACTTATCCTTCCCCTGTTCCCCAACAGTTCTTCTAGTTTCAAGAAAGGTAGCAGATCACCAAATGGTAGTGGACAGGAAAATGGAATCAGAACATTTTATGGTTTTAAACAAACGATGCCTTAGCAATTTTAAACAGATACGAAGTTATACGATGACCTCAAGAGTGCGAGTAACTTTAGCTAAGTTCCACAATTAGTCGAGTAAAGCAGTCCCAGGAAAAAAAGGAGGCCAAAGCATAAAGGAGTTGCAGACACCGCTACTTCAACGTACATCATAACAAGAAAGTTAGGAGATTTGGAAGAAGTACGCCCTTTATGTCAAAATCCGCGCCAGAAAGATGACGGCTGGTGAATCCATTTGCTATGTGCTTCTTCGCATATCCTGCTCTTTTCGTTCTCTGGTTTTTACCCGTGCGTCACCTTTCCCCGTTATGAGCTCAACACATGCTCGAAGGTCTCTTACAAAAGATGATGGGCTTTGTTTCTAGTGATTCTTATGGCTTAGTTTAATGGAGGGTGGTTGGCCGGGTACTCGCGATACCCAGGATTCGATCCAGGAATTTAATTCCTGGTCGCGAGTCGCGCCGGAGCCGCCAAACCTTCATCTTCGGGAAGGTCGGTCGATTCGGTACATGACTATTGCGAGTGATACAACATTGAACTTTGATCTTCGGATCAGACTAGAAAGAACGGTCACAGACGACGACGTCAACTCCTGAGCAGGATCGTGATTGGAACTACGTAGGCATCTTTAAACATTTCAACCAGAACTTCTACTGATATAGTATGGTGTGGCGAAATTCCTACATCCTGCTGGGGCCTTCTGTCGTCCTGGAACCTTCACTTCGGTACCTATTTGTAGGGTGTATCTTCAAGAAAATCCGGTCATGCAGAAATAGCTGGGGTCTTTATTTTGAGAGTAGTGCCAGCGGAATTAGGTAGAGCAAAGCCTGAGCCTGGCCTAATACATTTTGCAATGACAGCATGCTATTCAAATGAGTGAGCGTTAAAAGTGTAATTATCAAGAGAAAGGAAGCCTAAGTTACCTGGACGATATAAGACTACCATTCGATCACATGATATCCACGAAATCATCCACACACAGTTGAAATCGGACAGATGAGCTAGGAACGTGAACACTTTACATCCGATATCGGAATCCATATAGATGTGAAGTCGATATGCCGAATCCACCCATGAAACAATCAGCTGAAAGAACTACTTTATCAAGGAGCATCTGCGGAGTAACGGGAACGATTTCCTTTAGGGATAACTCGTCATCTTTCGCGTATCCCTGAGCTTATTCCTCCTTGCACAACTGCCGTCGAGCGGGGTAAGACTTGAAAAAAACGGACATCGGCAATATGCAATTTTGCTCATGTCATGCATTTGTCATGGAATTTCTAAAGAAATGAGGCGAAACCATTCCCCTTCCCTCTCCATAACACCACGACCCATTAATTTCCACCACTGCGACCCCCTCCAAATACGTCTCAAAATCTCAAACACCTCTCAAAATCCCAAATACAATCCTATCCTTCTCGAATTCCGATACAGAAAAAAAAACCTGAAGCCCCCCCCCCAAACATCCCAATTGAACCCTTATTCTTTCGTTGAACATGCCCCCCTTGGACAAAACATAAATATAGAAGCACTGTTCTCACTCAAAACTTTCTAAAACTGATTACCAGAAGCTAAGTGCCGTGATTTTTTGTTTCATGAAAAACGGTTCTGAAATTTCCGAACTAAAAAAGTCTAAACTGTTACCGTGAATAGGAATACACAGCTCGATATTGATAATGTGCACAGATACACGTTTGATGTGAGACGTCGAAGCCAGAAGTTAGTCCTGAAATGCGACTCAATTGGATTCACTTTTGATGGGTACAGTGAAGAACTTAATGCGGAAGTGGTGTGATACTGTATAAATAGCAGTAGTGCCAATTACCATACGCATGGCCCAGGGGAAAGAAGTCTCAAGTATGGGGAACCCGATAGGATGTCCGCGGCGAGAAGGCAGAGACGCAGACGGGTTAGTGGACGAGTTATAGCGCGAGCTATATGATGCAGACTTAGGAGTACATTCTAATTAATTTGAATTCAAAATCAGAATCCCTACAGTACGCACTGCCCACTCGTCCG